TTCTTCAAGTAATCATACAAGATCACAAACAACATGCTATACAGGCCAAAGAGAACAAAACCATGTATCTAAATATAATCAATGATGTACATACACCATACGTTCATATAGCCAGTCGCTATTTATCACGCCCATATTCCAAAATACATGGAAACCAGCGCATATTTTCATGACAAATATTATCATGCAAAGGCAACTTACATGTTCTCATGCACAATCAGCATAAAGGCACATTCAAGCATGTGGCAATCAATACACAATCACATTAAAAGAAAAGCGTTACTACCTTTTGCTTTTTCTTCCATGTTCCCTTCCCCTTGCTTCCTTCTTGGCTACTTTTTAATGGATTCGAACAAATATCAAATCCTATAAATTATATAAGCAAGGGCTGATTAATCTTCAGATATATATATATCTAGATCATTTATTCCTAGTCTTAAAAAATAATTCAGCAACATCGAATATTCAAGGTCCCTAAAATTATAATAGCAACAGCATTTATTTCATACTTTTATAAAATTTCAGCTTCATCAACATCATCCCATCCCCTATTTTAATGTCCCCTAGTTTAAGATTACATTTCCTCTTGTTTGGATTATAACCTAGCAAATTCTTGTACAGTTTACAGGGTGAAGACTACTCAGCTGCAAGACACGAATTGTATTGATGATATTTTTGTTAAGTTGGATGTGGATGGATCTGTTATGATAAATGGACATAGTGGCTGTGACGGAGTTCTTCAGGATCACTCGGACCGTTGAATATTTGGCTTTTGTTCAAAGCTCACAAATGTGTCCCCAACCATTGAGGAACTAATGGGGCTTCTGCATGGTTTGAATTTATGCTGGTCTGGCTAACTGTCTTCGCACCATCGAGTCACTAAGTTGATAGCCTCTATGCAGTCTAAGTTGAATTTATGCTGGTCTAGAGTTCTTCGAAAGATTTGTATCTCTTTAGACTGCATAGAGGCTATCAACTTAGTGACTCGATGGTGCGAAGACAGTTACCCATGCTGAATTCTTAGTGGATGATGTCAAGCTTCCATGGAAGAACACTGTCCATGCTGAATTCTTCACGCCGCTGCCACTCTGTTCGCGTCGAGAAGGAGAAGGAGAAGAAGAAGATGATGGATGGTGCGCCGAGCTCCCCTGGTCGTCTCGTGTTCTCCCTCTGGTTTGCCGTCGCTGAATCTCCCTGCGCCGTCAAGCTAACGTGTGTCCAGCGCCCACTCTGTTTCTTTTTTTTTTCCTTCCTGCCAAACTCTGCTGCCAAAACCCTTTCGTCCAGCCCCCCCTTTTACCAAGATGATGATGATGATGATGAATAATTGAATATCAGTGTATCAGGTGCTCCCTCTTTTTATTATTATTTTTTTCTTTATTTATTTATTTAATCCATTTTCTTCTTTTCTTCTTTTTATTTTTTATTTTTATGCCTTCCAAAAACCTGTAGTCAAAATTCAAGAACAAGGTAACATTAATTGTTCTTAAAAATCAACTAATCATAATTAAACCAAAATATGACAATTTTGCCCCTATAAAATATTAATTCAAAATAAAATATATTAAATCAATTATCAATCAATTAAGGCCAAAAGAACTAATTAAGTTGACAAAACCCATATAAAAGATATCAAAATATATAAAAATAATAGATTGTCAGAGAGCAAGGCATGTTAGTTTGGGTTGTACTCTTTAATTGCTACATGCTTTCCAGTTATCATTTTAAAAAAAAGAGAATAATGTCTTAATATAGATCTTTTATATAAAGGGAATGTAAAATGATATGCTAATTAAATGAGTGTAAATGTAAAACTAAATAAAACAAAGAGGAACCTGACCCTGTATTGCGGATTGCAAAGCGAAATGCTTAAATTAAAAGAGTGGAAAGCAGAAAGGGTTTACCAGCTCATGGTTGGTTTGGTGGTTGTAGTGAGTGCCTCCTCTTTCTCCATACGTAAAAGACACCAAGTACCAAAGTCAGCAGCACCAGAGTCATCAGTGAGCTAAGCAAAGGCCCCAGTAATAGATCGCCTGGCTTTGGTCGGTCCGATGGGAGAGCAGGCGGCGGGTAAAACGCCAAGGGAGACGGCGAGGTTATAGATGGCGAGGTAGACGGTGGCAACACTATAGAGTATTCATCACTGTAGGAGAGGAGGCGCCGGTATGGCCGGGACTCTTGAGGTGTACATGGCGGAGAGCGTGAAGACATATTGCCGGCGAAGAATACTGTTGCGGCACCGGTCAAGTGTGTCGTCTTGGATTGAGTTCAGAATTAAGGAGAATAATTAAGAACTCTGAACTCTGAAGAAGCAAACAGTGAAAAAATGAGAAGAGGGTGAAGACATCATGAAACCGTTGATCTGTAATCTCCAGCAAGGACTTACCAATATTAGTTTTTTCTTTTTTGACCTTGACTTACCAATATTACTGAAATGACAAGAGGAACAAGGTTTCTCATCTCCTTTTGTTTTTATTTATCAATAGGAAGAAAGCACTGTCGCTCTTCATTTCTATTTTTTTCTGTAGATAATTTTGCGTTTTACCTGCGTCTTTATGCAAATTTTGTTGATTTTACATTCTTTCTAAATTTTGCAGATGAATAAACTTATATCACAATCAAAATTTTCTTTACAATTTTTTGTATTTCATTAAAAGCTAATAACATTGAAAAATAGCTCTGTATGAAAAAGTGATAGTTTAGTTAGTGCTGCAGATAGAGAAAGATTTAGTTGGAAAAAGAACTGTTGTGAAATGATTATAAAGTTTGTTAATACAAAATACCAAATGATGTATATGTATATTATTGAACAAACATAATGCCCAATTGATAGAGAATAATTTTGTAACTAACGTTATGTAAAAGAGTGTTAATACTTGCAGTCCAAAAAAAGAGCTGTTAATACTAAAAGTGAAAGTTACTATTTTATGGTATTAGCTGCGTTCATGAGAATTGACTTCAATATCCCAAAGGTCAGCTAAACGTGCAAATTGACTTCAATATCCCACAAACTTATGCAATAAACAATAAACAATTTAGACAACATTCAAAGAAGAATATTCAATGAATGGAGACACAAAGGACAGAATGCCTACCAACAAAACCCGACTGCAATAGAGGGGTGTGTGGGCGCGCGTGTTTAAAGCTCAACATTATGAAGAAACACCGAATCATTTTCAACAATACAATAAAGTAAGTAATGGCCAGTGAAAAAGTAGGTAATAAAAGTAGATAACACTAAAAGGAAAAACAGAAGAAAACAAATTAAAAATGAAAAATGAATGAGGAACAGAAGATGAAGGCGGGAAATACAACAGGCATATAAAATGAATCTTAAGCTATACATGGCATATCCATAGTTTGGGCAAATATGATATGATTTAGATGCCTGTGAATCAATTAAATCATTTTTATTGTAGCTATTCAAGATAGTTTAGTTCCTTCATATTCAACAACATTGTGAATACAATAATATTGCTTTAATTTGATGCCTACTGGCGATTATGTTAACATTTTGTAACATCTAGGTAAAACCCTCTTTGGTATCATACATTGACTTGAAATTTTGTTTTCTAAATATTAAGCTCTCCTCGCTTAACCTTATAATTGATGTTGTCATTAATTGTATTTCTAATAATGATGTCCATATCATACATTGACTTGAAATTTTGTGTTCTAAATATTAAGCCCTCCTCGCTTAACCTTATAATTGATGTTGTCATTGATTGTATTTCTAATAATGATGTCCACGAACTTCTTTTGGAGGAGCTGAAGTTGAATCCCATTCACCAAAAGCATTTTGAACCAAGAGTGTACCATGATCAAGACTGAAAATATGTATGGAACCCGGTTCTTGCCTTTTCACTACTACAGTTTTTCTCTATATCTTTTGCTTCTAAAGCACTTTCAAAATTGGTACTGCTATGAATATGCTATTTTAATTTATTGCCTATCTTTGATACAGATGTTTAAATTTATCCTTTGCCTCCCAACGTAACACGTCATTGCCTCTTAAAAGATACGCATTTGGTAATCTCTTTCACTTATACAATTATTGCTTTATTATTGCATGCAATTCTCTGCACCCAACCAATGCCATTAATTACTTATTTTAATACTCAATTTATATTTATGATCTCATTTTTTGAAGCACCATTCATTCATTTCCTCATTCTCTCTTCCTCCTAGAACCATGTGATTTAGTCAAATGTTTTTTTTATTAAAAAAGATGAAAGGAGTGATTGCACAAGTTTAAAGGGATTTTTTAGGTATAATTGATTGATTCTAATGTCGATGAGGAACTAATTAAGTGAAAGATCTAGTATTGCTCCTAATTCCAATTTCTAGAGAATGTCTTGACATTACACTTTTCTTGTGTGTTTACTAGATTCACTAAAACCTGTAAACATTAGAATTAATTTTGCTCCTAATTTTGAGGGAAGAACAATTCATACATTGCACTACCATCTTCAAGTACGTTGTAGCTTTAAATTTTTTTATTTTGAATCGATGACCGGTTAACGGCCACCAACGGTCGACCAATGTCAGTTAAAGAGGATGAATTCAATGGCATTTGTGTTATTTCACAGGAAAAATTAATCGCAATCAAGTCATCACAAAATACTTGAGAGTAGGCTTTTTGTTTTCCAAATTTGTGGGAATACAAGTCTCATATATTTGGGATTTATTCACAAATTTCCCTTTAGATAATTGCAAAGGTGACCATATTCCTTGATGGTTATATTCAGATATTATTATTAGTCTAGTGGGGAACCTCTATTTGCTTAAACGTAATAATTTACCAAATAGTTATTTAATTTATGACAAACCCACATATATATTAATTAATTCATCAAAAAAAAAAATTCCAACACAACATACAGCTTACGGAAGTTCAAGGAAATTACCATAATCAAAACAAATAGAAATCACACAATTTAAATTCATAATTATGTGGATATTTTGGAGCCATCGATCAGAACTAATCCTCGAGGTGGTGATCATTGATCGGATGGGAGCGGCGTGCTACCTGATCCTGCTACCATCCTTCTCAACGTCTCCGCGTATGCTTCCCCTCGACGTATTGCGGCGGGGTCCCCCGTCAAATCATTGTCCAGCGAAATCACTCCTTCTAAAGCTTTAACCACCTGTTAGATATTATTACTACTACATTTTGTATTTAATATAAGGCCTAATTAACTAATTTACATATATTAAAAAATTAGTTAAGTTAATTATTTGTAATAAATATGTATTATCTAGAAGACTAAATTATACATTTAGTCCCTTTAACTTTACACAAGATTTTAACTTTTTAACTGCACCAAACTCCATCATCATATTAATTTATTCTCTCCCATGCTACTTTTATAATATAGGCATGTATGGAAAACATATTTAATACTCTTGAAACTAAACAAATACCTTTTAAAAAGGATGAAGACTGCCTTCTAAATGATAACTATGTGTGAGTTATCTCTATTAGAGATCACAAGGGATTTGAGGTTCACTATTCCCAATCACATAACTATGGTGATACATATTTATATATTTAAGTCATCCACTACCTGCTGCTCCGTATACGGTAGGATTGGATATGTATTTTGGTTTAATGATTTTCACATACGATTTGTTTTACATCAACGACTCCCTTGTGTGTGTGTGTTATCATACTTTTTTAAAAAAAAAAAATCAATTTCATAAGAGAATCCAGTCCAAATAAATTTCTTTAGAAGGGAAACAAAAAATTTATAATTTGTGGGCACTAACCTCGCTCCTTCGAGGACGACGGTCGGCTGAATGGCGAACGCAATTAGCAGCACAAGAAACCATTCGAAACATCTCTGCCGGGTCGTACTTTCCGCGCAACCATGCATCAGCAAGCTCCTCAAAGTTTCTGTTTCTCAAAGTTTCCGACAACAACGTTGTCGCCTGTGATTTTTAACGTATATATGCAAGTACCAGTCCACTACAGTTATCACTCTTCTATCAATGAAGTCATCACGTTAGGAGATAAAGTAGGATCATGTTATTTTCTATGTGCATCCATAGATAGGATCACGCTGTTGGATGTAGTTAGGAAATAAAATAACCTATCTATCGAAGAACATATAATAGTGCGATGTTATATAAAAGAGAAATATTCTTAAGTAGTACAGTACAGACCCACTCATACAAACTGCCTTTTGGGTACTTCTCAGGATCATTAGCAGGTTTTCGTCCTGTAATCAGCTCTAAAAGCACATTGCCAAAGAAAAATAGATCCGACTTCTCAGAGTAATTGCCGCTCATAGCAAATTCTGGAGCAACGTACCTGTGTTCAATGAAATTTCAGAATTTCATAAATATTGAAATAAGCACTACTGAATATATATCCAGTGCGAATCCATGTACTTATAATTAATAGTGAGAATAAAAGATTAAGACTGAACCCTTAGTTCCCATTACTTGAGTCATGATATAGGCCTCTAACAGCAATCTGGCGAGTCCAAAATCTACAACCTGATAAATATATATAGATAGAAGCACATATTAATTTGTCATCCATATTACATATATTGATATATTTGAACTGATTCTACGTTAGAGCAGGAAAAATATCTGATAAATAGAAAGTCAACTAATTTGACTTAGTTGATGTGCCTTATTAAAGATAGGGTTTAATGATAGAGAGAGCTGGGAACTCTCCCAATTTTCTCCTTGTTAAGTCAACATCAAAATTTGTTTTTTAAGTATAAAGGAAAAATTAATCATTTGGCCCCTATAGATTTAACTCAGCTAAAATTTAATTTTTAAACTTTGGCTCATAAAGCTTCAATCCTTATAATTTTTTATTTCATTAAAACTTAACCCTTAAACGTTAGCTCGACGTAATCCATTCCTTATAGTTGTATCAGTACCTATATTTCAACAAGAAAAGAAGAACTAAAGCTATTTCTTGAATTCTTGGAGCCAATGTTTTAAACTGGTAAAATAATAAGGATTGAGTTGCTTTAAGCCAAAATTTAGAGACCAAGTAATTTTGATCAAGTCAAAACTATAAGAATTAAATCATATTCAATTAGGGATTGAGTTTTAACTGAGAAAAAAAAAATATAAGAACCAAATTATTAAGGTATATTACAATGAAAAATACTTCGGTTATATTTCTTATATTAATTGTGTTAAGTTCTCCGACCATGTATGGATATGTGTCCTAATCTTGTGTATGTGTTCATAATTAAATGCTAGTAAATACTAATAATGTTAAAAAATAGCACACATGATAGTGCGTGATTGGAAAACTTGCCATAATAGATAAAGACTTGATATAGATATTGTCTTATTACAATTACTGGCCATATGTAAATTTGCATATCTTGCTGGAAATTAATAAGCAATTGTACAAGACCTACCTTTGGCTCAAAATTATCGTCAAGAAGAATGTTGTCCGCCTTGATGTCACTGTGTATAATTGGAGGATGACCTAAATAAACAAGAATAATATTGGATTGAAAGAAGCAAATATCTTAAGAGTAACACACATAGTGAACCAAATTAATCTACAGTGGCAGGTCAAGAAAAGTTACAGTCTTCATGCAGATATTTCAATCCTTGCGCAGAGCCAACAGCAATTTTCATCCTTGTTTCCCAGTCTACATGTGTTGTGCCTTCTCCTGAATTTGCATACATAAACATTTTCTCTAATCATATATGATACTTTCATATTCGACGGTTCTAAACCGTTAAATATGAATGAAAATAATCATCAAACATCAATAATTATGCAGTAGCGAATGCTGAGAGATTTTTCCTAGTAAACAGAGAAATGTAGAGCATTGGAATAGGCTACAAATCTTACCATGCAGTTGCTGCGCTAGGTTTTATTTGGGACATACTCATAAGCAAGCATCATCTTTTTGTGAACTTCATTAACGCAGTATCCAACAAGTGAAACAAGACGTTTGTGATGGATTCGACTAATGATCTCGGCCTCAGACTGGAAATCCCTCTTTGCCTCTTCCATTGTAGATTTAAGCTGCTTAATGGCAACAGTTTTATTATTCTTACTGGGGTGGACTCCTTTATGGACAATGCCAAAACCACCTTCGCCCAGAAAATTTGACCTTGAGAATCCATCTGTTGCCAATGTTAATTCCTGATATGTAAATGTTTGAGGCCCTAATACAAGGCCAGAAGCAACTCGTGACGCTGGACTTGAAACTACTTCAACTTTACCTGATCACACGGAGAGCTGGCATCAATAACTGTTTCAACTACGTTACATTGTATATTATTGTTATCTGTTAATTACTCTTAAAATTTTTATAATATATTTTTTATTGCATTGCTGTATTCCCCTGCTTATTTTGAGGCGTACATAGATCATGAATTCAGGTTGAGTTAGAATTCTTTTTCTCATTCTTTAAAGATTTAGGCGAGCTACTGTTAAAATTATAACTATTCTTGTTAAACTTTTTTAGCATAAAGTGAAAGGGTTAAGTCATAAATATAGAGTTTGTGTATCCAACATATCACTGTTACATTATCATAACGCTGAACTCGTATTATTGATTAAGATCTAGTGGTGCCCATTGGGAACCAGTTTCAATACACATTACTTTGATGAGTATTCTAAACTCATCAAATTTGAACTGTCTATATTTTATTTGACGGTTTAGATTTAAAATCTTTAAATAATTATTTTAAAAAAATAGCTATTATTAAAGATCAAAAGTATTATCTATTTCTTACAACGTTAAACAAATAAATATAAGAAATAAAGTTGATTAAAACTTTAACATATGCAACTACTATAATAACTATTTAAAAAAATAGATAAATATGAGAAATAAAGTGGACTGGAATCTTATATTTTGGAGTAAATTGAAAATCAAACTAGTTTTTATATTAAAGATCAAAGTAATATCTATTTGGGAAAACCATATTGAAGGTACCTATACTTTCTCTCAATTTTTAATTGGTACCTATGTGTTTTTTCCTCTTTAATTAAACATTTAATTTTATCTTTTTAGCAACATTAGCTCTTATAACTTTGTTCTATTGATATTTTTAGTCTCTATATAAGAATTAATGATGTTAATAGAGGAAAAATAAAGATTTAGTTAAGAACAAAAAACACATAGGTACCAAATTGAAAATTGAAAAAAAGTATAAGTACCTCTAATATGGTTTTCCCTATCTATTTCTTACAACGTTAATATTTAGTTCCCGACAAAATTTCTATTGTTTTTTATTGTGCTGTTACGAGGGTTTTGTTTTGAAGAAATGAGCAACGTCAAATACTTTTTCGTTTTCTTAATAGCACGCACTCACTCACTCACCGATCAGCGTCCTAATTAAAGTGATTTTTTATGTAATATTTTACTGATCTTAAGGTATCTTTTGAGTCAATTTTTTTAATTACTCTCTTTTTTTCATAATTTCAGTATCTGTCTTCTATATTGTCACTAACTAGATCTTATGATCCAAATGATAGTTTTGGGCCTTTCTCTCACAATTAATAAAAGGAATTTGGGCGCACGAATGAACGTGTGCAATGGGTTGGCTTGGACCGCACAAAAAAAGCGAACGGGAATCCTAACATTTAACCCCCAACAACAATTAACAACTCATGGACCAAGCACCACTCAAATTTGAAAAATCATTACGGACATTTTTAAAAAGAACGTAATTATTAAAAAAACCTCATAACAAGTTCACAACGTTCAATAACAAATTTCAGTGCAAGAAATAACAACAAATTCATATTACTTACTTGTTATTGAAGTTTTAAGAAAATAATGGAGTACAAAAAATTAATATCGTGGACTTTATAGCTTCAATGGCTCCAATGAAAAACCCGATAAAAAAGAGTTTTGATTTTTTTTTTAAAGTACTTTTACATAGATTCGAATGGATAATATTCGGATACGCAGAGGGAGAAGAGTCCAAAATCATTCCACACTCCAGGTCTTCTTTCTGTTGCGTCTATATATAAATATATATATATATATCTTCACTTTTGCCCACCGTAGGCCCAAAGTCATCGGTGCAATAATACTCTCTTGATAATCCAATTTTCTCAGCTTCCAGCCATACCCGTCCCCTTCATTCTTGGTTTTTATTTCACTAACCCCACTCCCACACCCAGCTCAGACATGGATCATTATGGGTGAAGAAAATTCCAACCTGTGTTTATTAATATCCCAGCTCTTCTCCCTCTTCTTTCTTTTATTTAATTTTACTTCAATTATCACTCCGTATTTTACATAAAAATTATCCATATTGTTTGACTAAAGTTTCCCGGAATAAAAAGCAATTAAAATATGCACCCAGTCTGGAAAATATATATAGATATTTAAAATCACCAAGCAGCCCTTCACATTCCAAGTTCTCTCAAGCATTTTGGTGGCTTCAAACTCCGTCTAATGCCATTTGTACTAAGTTCGCCGCCGCCTTGTGGGTTTACCTCGTCCCGATTATCCAGATGACTCTTTCCTTCTAAAGCATCAACTACCTGCAGACAGCTTCATGTCATTAAATTTAATCTTTTATATATATGGGTATTTTGGTTTAGAAAATCAATTCGCAAAATGGTCATCCTAAAAGTTATTAGGCGTTCTACGACAATATCACCCCATAACGAGTTCGTAGACGTCAAATTCAGAGAGATATTCAAAATTTTCAAGTATAGGGAAAGGAAATCAAGATTTTGGACTGATTAGATGTATTAAGGATGGAAAGTTTTGATTTCAGATGAAGATATCAGAGACAGATGGGGTGACTACTTTAACAAGCTTTTCAACAATAGATGGGAAATGATTAGTGATATGGAAGAATTAACAAGCCAAGAAGGTGAATAAATCTATATCTTTGTTACATAATTTAGGACGCAGGGGTAAAAAAGAAGCTGTATTAAGAACAAGGATAATGATATCTACTGTCATAGAGGCCTCGGGCTTCACTACTGTTAGAATTAGAAATGTCGCAAGTAATTCAACTTCTTTTAGTTTTGAACAGAAAAAACACAGATTTTAAGAATTGGTTCGCTAACCTGGCTCATTCGAGGACGACGATCTGCTGAGGGGCGCACACAATTTAGAGCACAAGAAGCCATGCGAAACATCTCTTCGGAGTTGTAATTATTCTGCAACTTCGGATGAGCAAGAAGCTCAAAATTTCGATTATCCAATGCCGTGGAGAGTAACGGCCTTGCTTGTATTATCATATATCTATCAATGAGATCCATTCCTTTTTAAGCAAAAAATTCGAACATAAACCTAAGATCGAAAAGGAAAAATAATAATAAAGCACAGCACATACCCCCTCAGCCAGGCTACCTTGCGTAGAAGACCCAGTTTCAAGAACAGGTTTTCGTTCCAGTAATCAACTCCAAGAGCACAACACCAAAGGAGAAGACATCTGCCTTCTCTGTGAGTCTCCCGCTGGATGCATATTCTGGAGCCAAGTATCTGAATTCAATGAAAACAGAAATTTATGCATGAATATGAAAAGAAAGAGTTAATGGTGAAAGAAGGTAATTCAAAGAAACGTATTATCTAACGGAAATCCACGGACTTCATCGAGAGGCAGACGAGAAGTTAGATAATATAAGACTGTATGTAAGACTTACCCAAAGGTTCCTTTTATTCGAGCTGTGGTGACATGGGTATCAGTGTCTGATGAAAGTTTGGCAAGTCCAAAATCTGAAATCTGATTAATAGATACAATAGGCACGCGTTATTTCTCTTTATAGATATTAGTGTCTGATATCAAGTGCCAAGTGGGAAGATGAACAAGTCCCCAAGATATTTGAATCGATTCTTTTAGTGCAGGGAAAGCATTTGATGCAGAGAAAGTGGAATAATGTTAGTTGATATCTTCATTAAAGACAGAGTCAGGGTTATACAATGAGAGACCTGCCTTTGGCTCAAAATTGTTATCAATAAGAATGTTAGCTGCCTTGATGTCACGATGTATGATTTTGGGTTCACCTGCAACGTAACAAACGTTATTGGACTGAAAAAGTAAAACTTCTATGAGTAATAAGTGAAATAAGTTTTCTTTATTTATACTGGATATTATATCAAGTAACTAAACTCACAGTCTTCATGCAGATATGCCAATCCTTTTGCAGAGCCATTTGCAATTTTCATCCTTGTTGACCAGTCCACAGCTTCTGTATCTTTTCCTGAATGATTGCACATATATATCCATTATGGTATCTTTACAGCCAAGACTGGCCAAGATATAATTTGCACCATTATGAACAAACTTATAAAATTTACGTACATCATTTTTCCTTTTTGTTCAAATTCTGATATGTGCATGGAAGCAAAGCGCGTAGACTTCTTTTATAAGAGCTATAAAGGGACCTTCTCATTATGCTATAAATAGGGATATTCCAACACTTAGAGATTCCAAGAGCTTCGAAACATTCCTATCCATGTTTAACATATCTACATACTGTTGAGAAAAGTGAAGAGTGTGTGTACCATTACGTTTTCCTAATTTCCTCTACATATACATGTTATGATAATTCCCTTTTAACAATATTTTATGATTTATCAAGGGGAAATCACATTGTGATCTCAAAAAAGAAATATAATTACTATAAAGTTTCAAAACTAGTGAAAGATAAGTTCTCGTGCAGAAAATAACAAGAAGTTCCAAACTGCTCATTTATTATTGAAAATTTTTAGTGATTATATTCTTTATTTGGGACCTGACTAGTGATTTCCCCATATACCAACAGCTAAAAGAGTCATAAAAAAACCTACAGAAATCTACAACATTGTGAAACAGGCCCTAAATCATACCGTGGAGGTGGAACTCTAGGGTTTTATTAGGGACAAACTCATAAACAAGCATCAAAGTCTTTTGAGATTCAGCAATGCAGTAGCCAACAAGGGAAACAAGATGTCTGTGATGGACTCTACTAATGACCTGCACTTCAGTCTGGAACTCTTGCATTCCCTGTCTGCTTCCAGATTTTTGCTGCTTAACGGCTACACTTTGATTATT